TGCAAAATTTAAAAAGTTGAGGTAAAGTTATTATGAGATAACACTACTTAAGACTACAACAAAAATTTGAAAGTCTAAGACATAAAAGTAACTGTAACTCAATATGCAAAAGGTCTTAACCCAATACTCTGTTGAAATTAACGAGCACTATTCCATCAGCTTTAACGAAAAACAATTAAGTGTTCATCCACCTACCAGAGTGCATTTTCAAAAAAGCAAAGCAGGCTTTAGAGATAGTGTTTTGAGTCTTAACTTGGAATTTTTCTAATTCATTGTTAAACAAAAGAGAAAGTTCATGCCTTACTAGCTTTTATAAATATCTCCATAGTTCCCTCCATTTTTCACATTAGTCACAAGGGACTATAAATTATCAAATATTGTAAGGTATGGTTACAATAGGCCATCATAGAACAAAGGTGGCCTCCTGGCTCTCTCCTCTTTGCTAGCATTACTCTCAGCATATAGCTCTAGAGACTTTTATAATGCTTGAGAAACAAACTCTGAACTCCCTTGGTTCAGTTTCTTGCATAGTTACTACTTGATTAACTAGGCAATTTTGATACTGCTACAGTAATAACACAAGATCATCCACTATAATCTTAGTCTCCAGCTGGAGAAGAGCACCAGTGTAAAGAAGGTATCTGTCTTTATAGACAAGGCTTGTAAAAAAACAAATTGCGAACTTACAGGCCTGCTGGGAAAGTCTTGTGATTTGGGGTAGGGGAAAACAGTCAAAGCCTCTGAAACGCCTTCCACACAGACATATCTACAGTACACTGCTCAGAGCACTGGTTTTAGTAAAAACAGTTACTCAGGAAATGTTTAATCTTTATTAGCTTAAGGTATTGGCCATTACTGAATACAAATATACACCCTCTTCCTCTCTCTGAAAGCTTTTAGATCAGGCATGTCACTAATTTGAATTCCATTCTAAACTTTGAGTATCTTCAGTTAGTAGTCAGCTTGCTAAAAACAATGCTAAGAGTCTATGTTTCTATTTGACAAATACAAAAAAAGCATTTTCTGAGCATACAACTTGTAAAATTTTTGTAGCTTTTTAAAAGCGCTCTTTTTTCCGTGGACCAAAATTATTTAAGATCAGTTGTCCTTGTAAGCAGTACACCTCTCTCTCTTGTATTTGGAGAAGTAAGCCAAAATAGGTAACTACCCTAAGGTTTAGGCACAGGGTTATAATTCTTAGCAAGCCACATTTGTGAATATCTGATTATTTTTTCCTCATCACTTTGAAGAAAAGTCTTGTTTCCTCATCATTAAAAAAAGTATGCTTTAAGCTGGCAACAAGTTGCCAGCCTGTCTTTTCTTAGCATCCCCTGAAGTTAACAAATCACTTTGTAGGGCAAACAGGTCAACTGTTGACTTTACAATTCCTAGAGATATAGCTCTGTATTCATTTCTACTGAGAAGCTGACAACATTGACATACAAAAGACTACAAACTGCCAGGACTTGTCTCCTTCCAAACAGTAGCCAAAGCGTGCACACGGGGAAAAACAAAATAGTTAACGACAGCAAGATATTATTAAAAGATGCGAAGGAATTTTCTTTTTCAGACTGAGCAGGAAGCGAACATGAGACAAATATATCAAGCTAAAATATTATTCCTGTTTTCACTAAAAACCTGCAAATTCATGATCAACATCAAAATGGTTCTAGTATTCCATCAGAACTATTTATACATGAGTCTAAGAAAGTTTATTTCTGTGGATTTTCCCTGCAAAGATAACTCATTCTGGCTTTCCTTTAGGTTTGCAATTTTGGATCTGTAGCACAAATTAGCAGTTAACTGTAATTTACAGCACTTGTTGACACCTTCCAGAGAAGCATTTGGCCAGGCAATATATAAGCTTTAACTAAATTAACGTTACAAGAACTTTCTGTTCTCAAACTCAGCCTTCGGAAAAATCCGTATGCTCAACAATTTTGGTGCTTAGTCAAATAAAAATTGCTCTTTTGAGTGATAAGATCCCAGACAACTGCGTATCTGAAAAAAAAACAAGCAAGGAAAAAAAAAGTAGCAGCTAAACACAATGTAGAGTGTAGTAACTTCCTGCAATGGTTTGGCAGACCAGTTTGTTTATCCCAATTCAAATACCAAGTACTATATTAATACACAAAGGCAGTAACTTGCTTTATTTTGAGACACAATCCCCTAGGATCTCATCACTTAAAAATCAGCAGCATTATGTGACTAAGCACCAAAAATGTTAAAAAACAAACATACTTGCACAGATGTTAAATACCAATGCAATGCAAGGTATCTTCAATTCTTACAAAACAACATAGAAAAGATTTAAGATGGACTTAGAATGGCCATTGCACTTGTTTTCAAGTAACACTGAATATCAAAGAGCAAGACAAAGGGTAGTAACGCGTTTGCATTTTTATACTGCCTTTCAGGCATGGTCATGTATTACGTTGCCAGCAGCAGTTGAATGAGTTACTAGTTGTACTCTCCCTTTTAATCTACTCCCACCCTCATCTCGTCATGACTCACTGTTCACTCCCACAGTCTTACCACAGATTACTTGCTTCCACTCAGTACTAAGAATATACTTCTTTTAAAAGGCCAAGGAAGGACCAAGGATCTAACTGCTTCACAGATGCAGTTTAGTGAACAGCCATGGAAGCAAGTGAAGAGGCTCAACCATGGAGACAGTAATTTCTGACAATAAAGGAGAAAGAAAATACTGGAACATGCAGCTTCAGACTGGATCTGCTGTTGACACAATAAAGCGTTTAACCTTCCAAGAGCCTTGTGCACCTTAATACTGGCAGCTATCCTGCATGGACATAGGAGCCCTAAAAAAATCCAAACAACAAAAAAAACCCACAAACAAACAAACCCCACAGGAATAGCTCTCTAAAGATCCAAAAATGATACGTACTGAAGCAGGGCAGAAATAAGCAGAACAAGATTACGCTTACAGGCCTGCTCCTAGCTAACTGGATAATGTTTGTCATAGAGCAGTAGTACTTTGACTTCATTAGCCTAAAGATAACAGGTGCTGTTTTGAAATATGCATCCATAACTTGGACACATTTAATTGTTTATGCAACCCTTGAACTTGTACCTGAACCATTCTTGGGGATAGTCCATGCAGAAGGTATTCATGTCCATCTCAAAGATCGGTCTTTTCTGACTTGATGAGGAAATAAACACATATATTATTGAAGTATGTAATATAATGTAGTGACATGTAAAAGAAAAGAATACTTCAAAGTTTCTCTGATTCAAAATACTTTAAGTGTTACTGACCAGAGTTCAAAATTACAACAGAATTTTCTGTGGTAGAAACATGAAGTAGGTAACAGTGGCTTGACAATACAAAGCTAGGATGGATAACTGCAATCCTACCTTCTTGAAGAAAAACAGCAAAATTGCATGCTTAATCTCCTTTCTTAAAAATCTGTCAATAATTTATCAGCAAAATAACTGGATAAATCCATTTTTGGTAGTTTGTTTTGTTGCATTTTTTTTATGATAGAAAAATAAGAAGTGGTACATCAAAAGTACAAACTCTCCTTCAAATAAGTGAATGTGAACACACAGCTCCTTGGCACTATATAATAAAATCGACTGAAGTGACAGACTTGGGGAAAAGCATGAGTTCAATCAGCTTCTGCTGAACAGCAATTCTGCTATTGATATATCCTTTACATGGAAAGGTAAAGTACCATTAATGTCCTCCTGAAATGATTGAAGCCGCAATTCAATAGAGAACTTGGACTAGTCATGGACTTCTCTAAAAAGTTCACTATCAGGAAACATCCATTTTAATTACCCTCCTAAAGACTGTGGAATTCAGCCAGAGGACGAAACCTTAGTAAGCATATAAACATTTTAACAGAAACAATTGTACTTCAACAGCCTGCCTTTTTAAAATCTACTTAATTTTTTTAATTAGATTGAGATATTAGTAGAGGTGTTAAATATTCCTACTCATAGCAAGTAGATGAAGCATACATTTTCCTTGCAATGTTCTTTACTTTAAAACATATGTTAAAGAAACTCTATGCTATAAGTCTGAGATTACCTTGTGTTATACACTTGAGTTGTCCGTACTTCAGAAGGTGCATGGGACCTTCAGATTCATTCCTCCTCTTATTGTATTATGTTGGAGCATTCCTAACTCTCCTCCTGTCACATTTAGATGACCTATACTCAGTATATTTATATTAATGTATATACTATATTGAGTAATTTGGAGAGGTTTGGTTTTCTTCATGCCATTGTCAACTTCATTGCATTACTGGTCACTGCAACAGGCTCCCCAGGGAAGTGGTCATGGCATCAAGCCTGTCAGAGTTCAAGAAGCTTTTAGGACAATGCTGTTAGAAGGACAATGCTTTTAGTCACATGGTTTAGTTTTAGGTAGTCCTGCAAAGAGATGGAAGTTGGACTCGATGACGCTTACGGCTCCCTTCCAACTTGAGATATTCTATGATCTACTTTGAAGTTAAAGAATGATAAATCCATGCAGTCATTAAGCAGAGAAAAAACCCTATACAGAAAAAGGTACAACACATTAACACAAGCATGATAGGGAAAATACTACTGGTAATGTCTTTAAACCACATCTGTTCAAGAATGCTCTTTAAAAAAGAGTAACTTTTAAGTTACTCTAAGTAAGCGACACTATAGAATAAACTATTTTCATGCATGATCATTAAGGGAAGAAATCACCCCAAAAGAACTGTATTATATCAAATCAATTATTGATTCCCGGTCACACAGACGTTCTTTTAAAGTGCCCAGATTTTCTTCCTCTCATAGTACAATAGCACTCAAGCTTCAAGCAAAAGTAATGCAAAACTGCAGACCACAATATACTGTAACACGAGATTATCTTTATTTCAAAATTGTACAAAGTATAAACAAAAGATATAATTACACTGAAGTAAACCCTGCTCTTTAAGTATCTGAATACTTAAGCAACGATACTGCCATCAAAAAATGCCTTTATTATTTCTAAATCAACTCTATCTTATGGAGCGATACATCATGAAATCAATTGTTGTACATCTAGGAAATTTACCAATAGAGCTCTCTTCCACCGGGGTGTACACTTTGATCTGTCTCATGTGAGTGTCTCTTCCGTTTTGGTGATTAGCTAGAACAGCAATCTGTATCATAAATGTGCGAATAGGTTTCTTCTGAGTATCTGTTAAAGGAACATGAATCCAGCCGCTTGGTTCCACTAATTCAAGTTGCTGCCAAAAACAAGAAAAAAGCACAACATTCAGAAATGGTTAACATACTTAATATAAACCATCACATATTAAATTTATTTAATAGAGTACAGTCTTGCAAATCAGATTTTGGTTTTCTTCAAATGAATTTGAAATAGTACAGTTGAATACCCATAGCTAATTTACTGCTGGTGTAATTGGATACAAATTAATTCGGTTGACTACAGCTGTGTTTGCTTTTGCCTTTCAGAATCTACTCTTCATTTTGTGCCTTAAAATAAAAATCGATATAAAAAAATACAGACTTGAGTATAAATTCAAGAAAGTCAAAGCAGTACTATTTGGATCTTGTTACTGAAGTACACTGCTCAAAGACGACAGAAAACATCCCTCAAAGTTAAACTGTTTTACCTAGGCACTCTGAACTAAAATATGCTAGAATGACTTACGTAGGAAACCAAATCCATACAAAGTCTGGGTTTTGAGAAATTACTCAGATTATTAGGGGGGCTGGGGACAAGAAGCAGGAAGGTGACAGAGGGAAAAATACAGAATAACTCACAGACTTCACCTCACCTATGCATCAAGACAGATGCCTGGCCAATTCATAATTGCTGCACAGCCATTTGATCACATTCTAAGGTCCATTTTAACTTGACTTTTATACAACAAACCAAGCGTAATACGACTTTTTTTCTTTTTTTATTTTAATCCTACAGAAACCAATGTCAAAGCAAGCAAATAATTGCATTTCATTAACTCTTAACCACATCACTGACACAACAGCATGCTAAACTCAAGCTAGATGTTATGCAGAAGTGTAGCAACAGCTTTGGTTTAAAGCTGGTTGCCCAACTTCAAAGCACAGCTCAAAACACATGGAAGAGCACACAAGTAAGCGGAAGTCTTGGGGGGGGAAACACAAAACAAAAACACAAAACCCAAAACAGTCATCCACAAGCAAGTGGATTTCACACAGCTAAGCAAACAAGACTGCTGTTCTTAGCAGTCAAGTTCCACTGAAGAAGATCCATGCTTTGAGCAGCTCAAAACTCCCATCTTTCTCCTGAAAACACCGCATGACAAACATCCTGTCAAATGCCTCGTCTTTGCTAAAGCTTTCAAGAAACCTCTCTGAGATCCACTGTTTCAGAGGCAGCAAACACCCTGAGGGAATGACTCAAGAAGCAAGTTAAAGTAGTCAAACTTTTTTTTTAAGTTTAAAGAGACAAAATAACTCACAACTTTACCTTAAAAAAAAAAAAAATGAAAGGAAGATAAAAAAAGCCCAAAACTCTCCACTGGTGCCAGCTTCCCCAACAAATAATTTCCAGAGCATTAAATTCACTAAACCTTAGCAGCAGCAAATCTTTTCACTCTCAGCACTAGACATTTCCACAAACACACATTCACTTATCTGTTGCAATCCTGTCCCTTTCAAAAAACCTACAAATTTTTTTTTTGCATAGGAAACTTCAGGTAATGGTTGGCTTTACCAAGTGATAAAAATTATGTGCTGCTGAAGCGGCTTTACAAAAGGGAAATTTATCATGGTGAAGTAGTAGTCAACGGTTCGAGCAAGTATGCTTTCCATCTCCACAGTGAACAGAAAGGATGAGGATCCCAGTAATATTTTATTCAACTATCACTAAGGTAAAGTGGCCATGATTTAGAAGAGAATTAAAAGGTTATTGCTAATTAAAAAAAAAGTACCACTTTCTATAGGTTGACATAATTGGTTTCAGACAGATCCAATATAGTTCAGATTTGCATGCATTGTTGGGACAGAAACTGCAAAGAGCGAAATAATGGCTCTCCAGAGCCAAGAGAGCTACCAAGGGATTGGCAAAATTGGACTATTTGCAAAAGAGGAATTTGGATGCTTACTAAATTCACAGAGAAAAATCACATCTTTTAAGATAATTATCAGGATCAGAAAGGTAAGCACTGGAAAGTTTAGAGTTGCAAAGGTAATTTTGCTAATGTAATAACATACTTGTGCGTCATTACATAAACTTTTGATTACATATTAATCAATGCTGTGTTTCATCCCTGATCAATGGGAGGTGGTCATATGCTTTATTTATAGTATGTTGTTTTTCAGTCCTGCTACAAAGGCAAACAATTTCTTCACAAGCCTTTCTGCAGAGATGGGACAATTCCTACAGCTGTAAAACAGGCAACTGAGGTCTTAGATTAAAATATTCCCTAGTCCCAGAAGTCAAATCTCACACGCTCTGAACCTGATTTTCACTGTCCTTAGTAACAGTATTTTACATGAGATTTAGCTCCCATTGAGTTCACTTGCAGTTGTAAGTGTCTGCCTTTCTGCAAATTGCTAAGAGTTCTCAAACTAGCCACTAGAACACACACTATGAGCAGCCACCTAGGAACAGTTATTTGAATGCATCATGTAAAAAAACCATGACTAAGCACAAACTGCACACAGTTCACAAGCAGCATCCAATTGTCTTAGCCACAAAGCCTTTTTTTTTTTTTAAATCCTGAAATCTCTGCTTCACTTACTCAACACGTTCCAAATTCTCTACTAGATGAATACACATCCTTTACTGTACAAATCCTGGACTCATCTCAGAACAGACTCCTTTCCCCATTCCAAACAGTTGCCACGTGGGCAAAACATGCAACACTTGTGATGAAGCTGCAGGCTATGTACTACAATGTATTAAGCGCAAGAGATCTGAGTTAGACTTAAACGTTTGAAAAATGTGAATTCTTGATTTTTGCCCTCTAAACATCACTGTACTGCAACATTTTTTGAGTCTAACTTTTTTTTTAAATTGATGCCTACGTAGTTCAGTAAAATGAAAGTGATTAAAATCTTGAGACCCACTCAACTACTGAAGTTTTAACACAATGAAACCTAACAATTATTATCTGAACATCCACTAGAAAAGGAAGTATATTTTGCCAGTATGATACACACATTTTCTGTGCCCGAAGGAATGGTACAAATCAGACACACACCCGCTCCTAAATTATTCTCCTCCACATCTGTCATGCTCTTCCAGATGAGTCAGACAATTTCTTTTTCCAGAGGGCCCAGGTCCTTCACCAGGGAGAAGGAGCAGGACATGGGAATAAGCACTGGTGGTACAAGACAAAATGCTGACCACTCTCAGTTCAATGTCAGCACCCAGATCCAGCGTTACAATTCCTAGCAGAAGTGGGATGAAATATGTAGCTCTACTCTGCCTGGAGCATTCCCAGTGTGAACAGAATCTAAAGGAAACTTACTGTGAAGTTTTAAGAAATTCCTATTAAGCCCATGCAAATGGCAATCTTTCAAAGCCTTGTAAACTGGTCTGGAAATTTGGGTGGATTTTTACAGGGAGGCAAAAGACACATCCTCAACACAAAGGCTGAACTATTGCCAAATTTCAAATCCTTGCTTCAGAGCTTGGGGGCACCGGAGCATCAAAGGAGGACACCAGAATATTCTCACACAAGCAAAATAGCATACTTTTCCCTAGCCTTATTCTTGGAACAAAACTGCTGTGGCTGAAACTTTCAAAAAAATTCAACCCAAAGCAGACATCTGGCATGGAAAAATGTGCCTGAACAGAATTTTGGCAGAAGTTAAAGTAGCTAAGAGTTAAGCATTAAAATGAAAAGGGTCATGCAACCTTAAGTACAGGTGGCACTAGCAGCACTACCTATAGCAAATACTATATTTTAAATCCATTTCAGTTCACTTTGTGCCAACTCTGTTCTCTGAAAGCATGAGCCACTGTATATACGTGCATACATATATATATGTTTCACCTCAAATCTACAGCAGAAGTCCCCTATGAGAAAATACCAGATGAAGTTTTCTCCTGTATTTTTTCCTCCTATGTAGGTCACTACAAATCAGTCACAATTAACTGGCTTCTAGGAAAGTTGTAAGTCAGCTGTATTGCTAATTACCTGAATGAAATTAAAAAAAAAAGCAGAAGTTTCTTTCTGTTACTTGTTTTACCAGAAAAGGTTTAAAAAAAAGGAAACAAAGGAAAGAATCAATGCAAGTTCAATATTAATAACTCAGGACAGTTCCTGTGGCTCTAGACTAATCTCACACAATATACTAAAAGCCCAGGGTTTGGCTTTTTTTAAAAATTTGCTTCTAATACTATATTTTTTTTGACAATTGGTAAACAAGAAGAGCATGAAAGCGCAAATAAAGGAATAAAGGGATAAAAATTGAAAAGGAAAAATCACTCACCTGTCCTTTGCTGCTGTTTTATACTCTTATCTATCTCGTCTCCTGCTTTTTCTCCATTGCTTTCTTATTTTTCCTGTCCTCTGCGTACTACAGCTTTACCTATGGACATATACTCTCATGCCTGTAATCCATGTTATTTTGAACGCCAAAGCAGAAATAAGGTTCTCAATGGAAATCTCCTCCCCGCTCAATAACCCTGTTTCTTCACTTTATTGTATAATCCAGAGGTCATACAGAATTCCATACATATTTGGCAAGGTTACTATTGCAAATAATGGATGTTCTACCATAAGGGATGCAAATCACACAACAAAATCAAAACAAAACAAACAAACAAAAAAATCAAGGCCAAAAGCAACTTGAGGCTACAATTCAGAAAGATGACTGAACACAAGACCAGAGCTTTTAAGAGGAAGCTTGTTCTACACTGGTATTGCTGGCCTCCTTATAGGAAAGGAAATCATTTACCCAAAGAAGGCTTTTCTATTGTACTTAATCCTACTTAAATTGAATATTGACCTCTTTTCCATATTCAGTGACATTTCACTTAAATTCTATGGTGTCTTCAAAGTGTCATATAACTCAGACTGCGATTTCTACTAGGCTTATAAACCCTATCCAAGTTGTTTGCTAGATTTACAGTAGGCTAACATCCTTGAAACAATTCATGACTTTTGTTGTCCTGTGAAGATATCTCTTGTGAAGGTACAGAAAGGAAAAAAAAGCACTGTAAGTACTTTCATATTCAGGGTCCTTATGAACACATCCCAGAATGTATGCTAGACAGAATGTATGC